ACCCCCCACCCCCACCCCCAAAAAAAAACATCAGACAAAATCTTATTTCTTAACCAAAAGGCAAACCATGAAATCTTTATATCAGAGAGAACTCATCAGTTTCAACTGATCCAGAGCCATAAAATTCACTCAACTAACTTCAGACAAAATCCAAGTATAATTGAGCACAATAGACCCATGATTTCAGGCACTCAGACCAACTTCAGAAGAAAAAAAGAAATAGTAATTCAACTTTGTAACACCATCTCTAACACTAATTGACCCAAATTTATTCATTTAGAGCTTGCCTAGCAATTCCAATCCAATATTTTCTTATCTTCACCACGATCTCCAGTTCATGATCACAACAAAAGTTCAGAGTTTTCTTCTTCCCTCACATTAAATTTACGGTGCGGTTGAGTTGGGGAAAATGGGTAGAAGGTGAATTGGGGATTGTTTTACCGTTGAGGCTGGTATTTTGTAACGCTGTTTACAATAAACTAACGGTGGACAATTTAGGGTATTAATGTGCTATTTTTTTTTACAATTTAGGCTATTTAAGTGTAAAAAATGGTGAAATAATAGGGTATGCTAGTGCCATTTAGCCATAAAATTCATTTGCTTGGGGAGAATCAAGGCTTGATGTCACAAGGCATATTTATATGCTTATCTTTTTTAGAAAACCATGTTTATTATATCTTCTCCAAACTTTGTCATGACACAGGGAAAGCTTAAGCTATTGCTACTTGATTGCTTAGGCTTAAGTTAAGATAAGAGTCATAAGACTAATAAGTGACTCTTGTCTACCTACAAATCCTTTCTGCTTTAGGCCAAACCTCTGTCTCATGTGTAAACCTTCTAAATATTTTACTCATGAACATGACTGGATTTGATTGGTTTGTAATAAATGCCAGTATAGATTGTAATTATCAACATTATTAATTCGTTAAATCATAATTGTTTCTTTTTGTATAACTAGATGGAATGCATGTGCATTGCACGTGGTCAACTATTTTAATTATTTAAAGTTTATTTATTTACTGTAACATGGTTGCAAAAAACTTTATAATTATCATAATATTTTAAATTTTTTTGGATATTTCCATGCGTAAAATCTTGTTGGTTTTAATATTTTATCTTTCAGGTAAATAGTGACGTTAAAGCTTTAAAATATTAATGATTTAAGATTAATTAGTAATTTGAATGTATAATTTCAAAATATTAATGATGTAAGGGACCAATACGGAAAAACTATTATTATTAATGAAAAATAAAATTTTGAATTCATCAAAGAAAAATGGTAGGTTTTATCTAGTCATTAAGAATTTTGTTTAGTTATAAGAAAAATTACTTCCACTTATTGTTTCTCCGGCGATCGACTATTATAGATATTCAAGAAATTTTTTCTAGAATTTTCTAAGTTAGAATATGCGAATTCAATCAAGAAAGAAAATATAAATTATGTGATCAATTCCAAAATCTGATATTGTACTCTTTTTACATCTTTAACTACTAATTGATCCGTCAAAACGATTACTCTCTAGTTTCAGAAAATTATAAAATATAGTCTGAGAATGATTTATTATGCACTCATATTGATTGTATTTTAACAAAATAATTCATAGCTATCCAATGTCAAACAATATCCAAAAATTAGCTTAAGGAATTACAATAATACAATATCCGCAACAATGCTCATACCTAGGCTATGAGCTTCATAGACTTTTAAGAAGGTGAATAATATAAAATAACAACTTAATTTATTTTTTCAAATAATTTAGTACAAATTATGAAAGACAAGGGGAATCAGAATGATCATATACCCATTCCAAATAAATATTAAATTTCTCTTAGAGATTCTTATAGCAAAATATTTTCAGAATTGACGTGTAGGATAAATTTAAGGATAAACAACCCAAACATGTTCATTGAGTGATAAACTTCATTCTTATAAAATTAATGTCATATGTGTCTTAAGTTGTGCTTTTATTTAAGGGTTAATTTTAGAAAACTCCCCCTTAAGGGGGGCATGTCAACCCCTATCTCTCACCCTCCAAACAAAAAAAATAAGTAAATCTCTGCCAAGTTTTGGGTGTTTTGTAGATATCCATCTCAACTTTAAAAAATTTGATTTAACCATTGTGAACTTATCTCACTTAAACTTAACCTCTCAAAACTAATATCATTGAGTCTTATCTATTATGTGACAAGTACTTGACTTGCAATGACAGAAATATCCATCAACCATAAAAGAATTACCTTGGTTTTTACTGGATGAAAGAAAAAGAGGTAATATAGAGGAAAAAAGAATTGTAAATTGGTTATGGTCCGTTTATTATCGGTTAAGGGTTTCTTTTTAACTAAAATTTCTTTCTTCAATAGTGTATTCTGTTCAAATCACATGCTGAAGTAACTATGTTAAGGAAGTTTGTTGATAGAAGTGTAAAAAATTAGGGGAGTTTTTATGAGACACGCTATAGTTGAAATGTGTTTCAAAAATTTTACCAAAATTGAGAGGGGTATGTGTAACACCCCCATAACAAGGGGGTTTTGTTAAATTGAATCAGTGTTTTTTAAGACAATCCCCATAGTTGAGAGGGTTTTTAAAAAATTAACTTTCCTTTTAAATATGGCTTATTTATAATTTGCCCATCAAAATTTTAATAATTTAATGTTAGTCCCTAAAATTATGAGCAATTTTAAAAATTTTAAGGAATAGCATAGAATTATTGAATGTTTAAAATCAATGAACTAATATCTACATAACCTTTACATATTTGCTCTTATAGGCATTGTAGTAAATATCGGTCGATATATTGCTATATCGGTTTATTATCAGGTTAAAGATTTTATCTCGATAATATTTTATATTGTTTTCTTTTGTTTGGTGATTTTTTGATATATCGACCGTTATCGAAAATATGGTCGATATATCCCTTGAAGACATCGGGAAAATTGTCATTTTTAATTTGATTGTGGGCTTGGGTTTTGATTGTGTTTGGGAAATAAAATCGGAACCTACAAAGCCCACAAAGGTCATAATTCTTCTCCCAAATCTCTTGGCTCTCGGCTCTACCAAATCTTAAGCATATATCTTGATGCAAATTCCTATGTTCACAATGTCATGTTATGTATGAATATTATCTCATATGATACCTATTATTATATACATATACCTAATTTCTGTAATTTGATGTCATGGATTTTATTTGTTTAATATTTATCTGATGTCTAACACTTTGTAGTAGTCTTTCAAAAGCATCTTCTAAAGTTTCTAAGCGCAGGCTTATTGAGGCGCGCACCCCGGACGCCCCCCGGGCGCGGGGCGCTTCGGCCTTGGGGGAATGCGCCCCGCACGCGAGGTGGGGCGCTGCACGCAGCGAGGCGCACGCCTCGCGTGCGCCTCACATGCGCCTCACTCGCACCTCGCGCGCGCCTCGCGCGCGCCTCACGTGCGCCTTGCACCTGCGTTATGTAACATACTTTCTTCTATTTTTTTAAAATAATTTACATAATTACATATTTATATCATGTAATATACTCTTTCTTACTAGTTTCTAATCTATATTCATCTTTTCATGTTTAACCTATAAAAAAGAAACAATAATTAGTAATTTAGTATACTTATTTGCTAATTGTAACTTCCTTCTCTAATTAGCATGCTAACTAGCAAATTATGAATATGTAAATATGTAATTGTTGCATTCATTCTTTATCTTTTCATGCTAAGTAGCAAATATCAATTAAGAATACTAACTAAAAAATTATGAACAATCATGTTTGTTAATTATATTTCTTAGTCTTTTTATGTGACAATTTATAAACATATGCTCATAATTGTTAATAACTTAATTTGATGATTTAAGCACATGTTTCTTGTATTTTTTTTGTTACTTTAAAAATTCAGTTAGCATAATTTGATGATTTAAGTTGATATTCTCATAATTTTGGATGTAGGTAACTAATATGTTGCTTATATATTTCTGTCTTATGATGTTGGCAAATATTAGTTTGAGTTATGCGCCTCAATTAGTGAGGCGCACGCCTTGTTGTGCGCCTTACGCATGGTGCGCGTAAAGGACCTTTGCGCCACTCCATTGCGCCTTGCGCCTCCATTGCGCCTTGCGCCTCGATAACACTGTCTAAGCGAAGTATATAAGTTCAGAAAATAATTCAAAATCTTGAGACTCATTCAAAATATGATGCTTAAATTTTTCCACGTCTCCTCTACAATATGAATATAAGCTAAGCATCTTGCCTCATATTGTATGATGAATATTATTTATCAATGGGCTCATATATTGTTGTTTGTGGATAACAAAGGTTTTAAATCTTTTATAGGCTTAACTAAACTTAAATACCCTATAGTTTACCAAAATTATACTTATATGCTTCCACTTGAATTTTGCTGCACTTGTTTTTCTTTTAGATAATGTATCTTGTTGCACTTAAATATCCTAATGTTATTTAAAATTTTATGTTTGTATCTTCTGTCCTGTTACCTAAACATAAGAATACTCTTTGTAATTTTCTTTTATGAGTGTCATGGTATAATTTTAGGATAATTCTATGTTTTCTACTCTTTCCATAAATACTTTATTAACATACAATGATTTGTTAATATATTATTATACATCACTAATAATTAATATGATGTAGAATTTTACAATAACATTGAAAGTTTTAGGGACCAAATTATACAAACTTAAAGTGACATATAATATAATTAGTTAACAATGATAATTAATTTAGTTTAGTTAGTATTAGAATGTAAATTAAAAAAGAATAGGGATAATATAGTCCTTGAAAAGTTTTTCCACAATTTCCTGTTTTAAAGGGAGTATGATAATTTCGGCCTATCGTTTTCCTGGAGTTTTACAATTTTTAATGTGGTAGGGTGCATATTGATATGCAAGCTTTGTATAAACCCTGAGTTGTTTTGGATTTCTGAAGCATATCCTTAGTTGTCTGAATCCCTGAATGCCTAGCTTAACATGTCAAAGAACAGAAACATGGAGGATCCAAATGACCATGTCTTTTTTCATATCGATCGTCTCATGTTACATTATCTTAGAAAAATATTTGTCCTGTTTTGTTTGCTTTTTTCATTGGTCCGCTGCCGCTTCTACTCCTCTTGTGATTTATGCCAAGTTTAATGTTTACTCTTGCAGAAAATGTTGCTGCAAGCTTTGTATAAACCCTGAGTTGTTTTGGATTTCTGAAGCATATCCTTAGTTGTCTGAATCCCTGAATGCCTAGCTTAACATGTCAAAGAACAGAAACATGGAGGATCCAAATGACCATGTCTTTTTTCATATCGATCGTCTCATGTTACATTATCTTAGAAAAATATCTGTCCTGTTTTGTTTGCTTTTTTCATTGGTCCGCTGCTGCTTCTACTCTTCTCTTGTGGTTTATGCCAAGTTTAATGTTTCCTCATCCCTTGCAGAAAATGTTGCTGCCTTGTGGACTTCCACCAGAGAGAGAAGAAGATTAAGTATTGGAAATCTGCAAGCCAGGCTATCATTCCTTTATTTTGTCGTCTTCCGTTCAGTTGTATGAAACAAAATGTTTGCATATTTCTATTTCCAAACTAGATGCTCCTTTATATGAATTGTAGGAGATAAAATATTCTTATTACCGACTATGAACTATTGTATGCATTGAAAGTATTTCTGGTTCCTATATGAATTGAAACTATTGTATAAATTATTGTATGAATTGAAAGTATTTCTGGTTCGTATTATGTCAGAAGTACAGGGTAATTATGCAGGGTGATTCTTTACATAATCTCGGTAAAACTGTCTCTGCTTCAGCAGTAATACAGGGTGGGCGATTCTTTACATACTCTCCATAAAACTGTTTCTGCTTCAGCGGTAGTTATAGCTATGATGCTTTTGCTGTGTTGCTGCTGTGACTGTACAAGCAACGTTGGGGCTGTTCGGTAGCTTGAATTCCATATTCCTTATTTGTATGAAGATTCGTTCCTAAAATGCCATTGGTTGATGTTCCATGTTGTGGATTGGTGTCATCAAACACAATTCCTCTTGAATAATGAGTAGATAGTTGCCAGTATCATTTGGTGAGCTTTCACTGTGAGATTATTTCTCCTCTTATTGCTATCGGCATATGTATACTTTATGCTCTATTTTGATGGAGCAGAACCCTGTGTGAAGTATCATTTCGCTGGTGGGCAAATAATTGAAGGCGTGTGTGTGATATAGTCTCGTGATCGGGAACAACTTTGAATCTTGTAAATAGAGAATGATTTTTGATTGATTGATACTTTTAGCTTAGCTTTGGTAGCTGTGATAGCACTCTTCAGAAGAAGATTGAACTCTGATAAGTTTCTTTTGATCAGACCTTGTCATAGTATAGCTTATATTGTTCTCTTAATCTTCAGTCTCTAAAGAGGATAAGTGATGCGAAACGGGGTAGGGGGTCTATCAGAATCAGTGATCTAATTTGAACAACGCACCGTTCCGCCAAAATTCATAATATTCGGTAGGAAATTAAATTAAAAACAATTAATGTGACAGATGGATTTTAATAAGATTTGCATCGACAATTATGAACAATTCCAATCTCGATCAATTTAATTGCAATATTCATTATCATTGCATAAGTTTTACAATCAATATCAAGTTTTAACAATCACATGTTCAGTTTCTCTCAACTCACAATAAAACTTTAAGCAGTGAATATATGATAAGAGTTTAGAGCTAATATACTCGTGCAATTAACTAACAAAATGAGATTGACAGAAAAATAAAGAGGAAACGAAACCTTCGTCGATCTGAACAGACTCAACGTGAAAGACCTCTGGAGGTGGTGCGACGACAACGGTGAAGTGAACGACGATGATGAGGAGGAGATCCGATGACGACGAGTGCGACGGTGTTGAACTGATGACGACGCAGCGACGGGATGAGGACGGTGCGATGTCCCACGGGTAGTCGTCAGGTCGATGCAAGTAACAGGCGTTGGGACGAGGCTGGCAGCGATGTGAAGATGAAATAAACGGCGGCTCTAAGAGTGGAGGAGGACGGAGGGAAATCAGTGACTGTTGAGGTGGTTCTGACGGCTTACGGAGGCGAGAACGATGACTGCTCGAAGGTAAGGAGAGCAGGGAGGGATCAACAGCTTGTGGAAGAGGAGAAGTGGTGGGGGCAGCGAGGCTGTGAGATGAACAGATAAACAGGAGAAGATAGAGATTTGATGGCTAGAAGAAGAGGAACAGGTATTGGCCTAGGGTTTCACACCCGAGGCCTAAGTTACACACCAAAATTAAGCCAACTCAAATTTTATTACACAACGTGCAATAAAATTCAAAATTAAGCCAACTCAAATTTTATTACTAAGTTACACAACGTGCAATAAAAATAAAAACAAACAACAATCCCTCAAATCACTCAACTAAAATTAAACTAAATTTCAAAATTCAAACTTCAAATTTCAAAATTCAAATTTCAAATTTTAAATTTCAAATTTCAAATTTCAAAATTTAAAAATATATCAACTAATCAAATATTGCAATTTCTTATCCTCATTATTCTCCCCGGGTGGGAGAAAACTCGACACCGTCGAGTTAGCTGCAGAAACTTATCATCTTCAATATACCTCTGTCTGCATCTTAATCTGCCGTCAATTATTTTTCTGCATCTCAAATCATTAGTTAAATTACATTGTAAATTCACCATCTAAAATATTATCAAAATTCACTGTAGCTTTGGTGAATATATAGAAGTGGGGGTAAGGTGAAAGAACTCTCAGAAATAATAGGCTAGGATCAGGCTTATATCAGTGGACTGCCAATAACATTGTGAACTGTTTAATCACTCAATATTAAAAATAGAACTATGACCAAATCAATAAATGTTGCCATTAATTAGTTCAAGAGTTGGAAAAGCCAATAAATATCATGTCAAATCTTAAACAGCTATAAAGAAAATGTATCGGACAAGTCCAAACCATCTAAAATATCAGCATTAATAGTTTTAAATTATGTCCTGACTCCATATCATTCATTTCAGTAAACAATGTATTTATTCAAGTTAGATTACTGATTCCATAATATATGATCAATGCAAATCAAAACAAAATGATGCAATCAACTCAAATGACTATGTATGAAATGCAGACTCAAAAAATACAGTCAATGGCAGATGTAACTCAACGAAGTATCTAACATGCATGACGTCCTCTATCAAATGGAATAATTAGGTGTTCCTTTGTTAAAATACATAAAAATTTTCTTGTCCTAACAATGATAGTGAGGAACATGCAAGCAAGTTTTGGTGCACTTGATATGAGAGAAAAAGGAAATGAAAACACTCGTGCCACAACTTGCATCATTAATCACTATATTTTCCCAAAATGGATCAGTGTATGTGTGAGTGACTATCGGGACAATGCATGTGGGTTTGACATTTAATATGGTAGTTACTTCACTAGGCTCAATTTGGTATTCAACTTCCATACAGATATCCGATTGAATCGCTTTAGGACCCATATCAGGAACGTGTTGGGGATCATGTTGGTCCGGGAGGACTCTGTGGGGAACATCAACAGCGTTTTCAATCACTGGAGTTGGTTCAGAAATAGTTGGAGTTTCGATTTCAAGAAGAACTTCAGGGATAACATCAGTGGACTCCGTGATCAAAGAGGTAGCTTGGGAAAGAACCGGAGTTTTGTCATTGCATGAAATTTCAATTAACTCCACAATTGCAGGGGTAGTTTCAGAAGAAATGAAAGTGCATGAATTTTCAATTTTACTATCCTAGAATTCCTTCGCAGAGTTAATTTCTATCAAATCTACGGTTTTCTCAAGAATAGATTTTGATTCTGTCATATGCGGCTTATTAATTTTAACTGGTGGAAGGTATTCCCTTTTTAGTTCGTCAGCCATTTCTTGCCAAGTTAAAATTGGTAACTCACCACTAATATACCTTAATGTTTCGAATTTGGACCAATATTGGCAGGATGGTCCGGTGAGTTTCATTGCCGCAAACTTGACTTTTTGTGGTTCCGTCATGGCATACCAGTCAAAGTATCGATCCATGTTCTTGAGCCAATTCAAGAAAGTTTGTGGGCCGAGCTTACCGTCAAATGTTGGTGGATCATACACTGGTTGAGGTGGGGGTCGATGAACGACGTAACCATGACCTTACGGTGGGTATCTATAGCCTTGACTTTGTGGCGACGGAGTTGCAACACGCGCTCCTTCAAGCCTAGCAAACATTTCGTTGGTTTCATTCTGGAAATTTGTAAAGCTCTGGGCTACGACACCTATTTGTCTTTTTACCTCATCCAATTTCTTAAGGAATTCAGAAGACATGCTGGACTCACTAACTGACACCTATTTGTCTTTTTACCTCATCCAATTTCTTAAGGAATTCAGAAGACATGCTGGACTCACTAACTGATTGACTTGACTCACCTAAGGTAGATCTGTGCGATTAGGCATGCACTAACAATTAACTAGGATGAGTGGGATGCACTGACAGCTAAATGCAATTAAGCATAAAAAATTTCTAACCTAGAACCATGCTCTGATACCAAAAATGATGTGAAACGTGGTAGGGGGTCTATCGGAATCAGCATTTCGACAAAATTCATAATATACGGTAGGAAATTAATTTAAAAATAATTAATATGACAGATAGATTTTAATAAGATTTGAATCGACAATTATGAACAATTCCAATCTCGATCAAATTAATTGCAATATTCATTATCATTGCATAAGTTTTACAATCAATATCAAGTTTTAACAATCACATGTTCAGTTTCTCTCAACTCACAATTATACTTTAAGCAGTGAATATATGATAAGAGTTTAGAGGTAATATACTCGTACAATTAACTAACAAAATGAGATTGACAGAAAAATAAAGAGGAAACGAAACCTTCGTTGGTCTAAACAGACTCAACGTGAAAGACCTCTGGAGGTGGTGCGACGACAACGGTTAAGTGAACGACGATGATGATGAGGAGATCCGATGACGACGAGTGCGACGGTGTTGAACTGATGACGACGCAGCGACGGGATGAGGACGGTGCGATGTCCCACGGGTAGTCGTCGGGTCGATGCAAGTAACAAGCGTTGGGACGAGGCTGGCAGCGATGTGAAGATGAAATAAACGGCGGCTCTAAGAGTGGAGGAGGACGGAGGGAAATCGGTGACTGTTGAGGTGGTTCTGACGGCTTACGGAGGCGAGAACGATGACTGCTCGAAGGTAAGGAGAGCAGGGAGGGATCAACAGCTTGTGGAAGAGGAGAAGTGGTGGGGGCAGCGAGGCTGTGAGATGAACAGATAAACAGGAGAAGATAGAGATTTGATGGCTAGAAGAAGAGGAACAGGTATTGGCCTAGGGTTTCACACCCGAGGCCTAAGTTACACACCAAAATTAAGCCAACTCAAATTTTATTTCAATTTTCAATACCTCATTGATTTTCAATAGTCTCATACAACCTTATTTATAAAAAAAAATACATGCACACAACGTGCAATAAAAATAAAAACAAACAACAATCCCTCAAATCACTCAATTAAAATTAAACTAAATTTCAAAATTCAAACTTCAAATTTCAAATTTTAAATTTCAAATTTCAAATTTCAACTTTCAAATTTTAAATTTTAAATTTCAAAATTCAAAATTCAAAATTTAAAAATATATAAACTAATCAAATATTATCATTTCTTATCCTCATTATTCTCTCCGGGTGGGAGAAAACTCGACTCCG